TCTTATACAGGCATCCCCACCCCCCCTGCCCTGAATGCTATGTACAGCCAGCAGGAATGAAGGTTCATTCCATCCAGTATTTCTCCGGACATCTGCAAACTCTGCTGGATGCTCGCCCTCGACGTAGATCCCGAAGACACCTCAGCTCGTCTCAAGGCCGCTTCCTCGGAAGCCACATCATCAGCTGAAGAACACGTAGGTCCCGACGCCAGTTCTGCAATCGCCCTCAAGCCCGGCGCTGAACCAGGCGCCATCATCATCATCATGATCGCGTTCGCTCCGTAGCAGCACGGAACGGGCGGAATGGAGCAGCAGGGCCGAGAAAATTCGCATGTTATGCTGCACTTATGGGCTTTTTCTTCAAAGTAGGTCTGTCGATGCCAGAGCGAGGGCTTCTGAACAGAGATTCAAGCATGGGCTGACGTGCGATGTGTTTCCATGCATGGCCATCTAAGAGAAGGTTTCGGACATGTACCTCCTTCAGCCAGTCTTAGGATATGTCACGATGTGTACAACAGTGCAGAAGTAGCAACACAACACGACAGTATGTAATTAAGCATTAAGCCACGAGGCAAGGTTGTGATCATGTCGTCAGAACGTGAAAAAGCATTGATTGAGTCCTCAACGGCCATTCAATTTGCGTCGAAATTTGGGAACTCCGCTGTAAATCTCGGGCAGCAATTCAAGCTGTTTAGCTTTGTGCCCTTGACAGCGACATCATAGTGGGAGTGGCAGGATGATGTGCAGTCTTGGTTCAGCAAGCTATAAACAGGGGAACCTCGGTTGTCGAACCAAACCGACTGTCACTGACACTAATTACTAAAGATCGGCAGCCCCGGCGCTGCTGAACTTTGTCTTAAGCCGCATTATATGGACGTGCTCCTAGGGAATGCTCATTCGAGAATAGTACTCGCCTCAGCGTTTCTATTTCAAGAAAATTTGGAAGCAGTCCCATGGCAGCATGTGAAGACGCAGCAACATGGACCGGGCCCCCGTGCTTCGTTGTTGCAGGAGTGCACAGCGGTGTCGGCAAAACTTCCGTGGCTGTGGGTCTGATGGTCGCGCTCCGTCGGCGAGGCCTTCGTGTACAGCCCTTCAAGGTGGGACCGGATTTTTTAGACCCCATGCACCACATGGCTGCTTGCGGCGTGCCGTCGGTCAACTTGGATGGGTGGATGTTGGGCAGGAGCGGATGCCAGGAGTCCTTTCAATCGGCATGTAGACGCAGCCATGCAGATGTAGCTGTTGTGGAAGGGGTCATGGGCTTGCACGACGGCTTGGACGGCCGCAGCGACGCAGGCAGCACCGCGGAGCTGGCCAAGTGGCTCCAGGCGCCGGTTGTTTTGGTGGTGGACGCGTGGTGCCTTTCTCGCAGTGCAGCCGCGATGGTTCTGGGCTACACCGTCTTTGACCCTGAGGTTGCCGTCAAGGGTGTGGTGTTCAACCGCGTCGCGAGTGATTCTCATGCCGAGTGGTTGCGAGAGGCAATGCGCTCGACCCCAGCAGTGTCGCACGTGTCCCTCTTGGGTTGTCTGCCGCAAGACGCAAGCGTTCATGTTGCAGAGCGACATCTGGGTCTGTGCATGCCTGGCCAGGGTAAGGACGCTCCTCATCTCGAGGCACTGGGCACTCTCGTGAGCAAGAACATGGACATTGACGCTCTCCTTGGCCTAGCGCAGAAGAGCCTGCCAGAGAAATTGGTCTGTTCAGGCCCGGCTAGCAGCTTGCAATCCAGCCAGCCCTGTATGCCCGTACGCATTGGAATTGCCAAGGACGAGGCTTTCTGCTTTTACTATGAGGACAATCTTTGGCTTCTGGAAGCGGCTGGGGCAGAGCTCGTGACATTCTCTCCGCTTGCAGATCCCACGCTGCCAGCAGACCTGCAGGCACTCTACTTCGGAGGTGGATATCCAGAACTACATGGTGCAAAACTGGAAGGCAACGCCAGCTTCCGCAACTCTGTTCGTGACTTCTGTAAAAGAGGCGGTCTTTGCTGGGCAGAGTGTGGAGGTCTGATGTACCTTGCGCAGACCATGACGGTGCGTGCCAAGGACAACCCAGGGGCCTCTACTCGCCGATTTCAGATGGCTGGAGTATTGCCATTTGACGTCTCAATGACGGACCGCATGGTGATGGGCTACTGCACGTCACGGCCTGCCCCTGCAGTTGCCTCGCTGCTACGAATATCGAGACACGCGGAGCTCAGGTGCCAGCAATATCATTTCTCAGAGGTGACTTTGAACGGAGAGCCAGCTGAGCTGGTTGATTCGGATGGCCGCAGTATGGGCTTGCGAGGGGTTGGTCTGGCTGCTTACGAAACCCGCATGGAGCGCCCAGGTGCTGAGTTTGTTCCAGAGGGCATCTTCTGCCACTCCACAGTGGCTTCTTATTGTCACGTCCACTTCCGAGCTGCCTCAGGCTTGGCAGAGGCCTTGGTGGCCGCGGCGCGACGCTGCTTGACGGTCGTGTCTCTCCTACCAAGTGGCACAGAAGCTTTGTGTTCTATTCCTGGTGCCTCCGAGCGTTTGGTGGCTGCCAGCTCGCACTGCGACTTTCCCCCGCAGGTCCTCCGCCTGCGTAGAGCCACGCGCAGCCTCATCCAGGTCGAGGGGCGGAGCTCTGCAGAGGTGGAAGAGCAGGTGCAGAAGCTGCTAGCAGACGGCGTCACCGACTTCCATCCCATCGATGTGGACTGGCTTCGTTCCTCAGTAGCTGAGTGGATACACTTTACACTTTTGGGGATAATATTACCTACAATAAAACTGAAAGTATACACTTTTCTGGGCTTTTGAACTCAGCATCTAAGGTTCTGCGCGCCCAGGCGTGGTGCTCTCACAGGAGAGCTGCCCTACCTGCGATGCCAGCGCCACGGCCTTGGGTCGCGCCTTGTCAGCTGCTGGCCTCGAGGCACGGAGGTCAATTGCTGTGGGCGCCACCACAGTTGACGAGATTCTTGGCACCATCGAGACGATTGGCCATGTCATTGGAGAGCCTAAGGCTGCATCTTCGGTGAAGAAAGAACTTCAACACCGCTTGGACTGCGTGAGGCAGGTAGTCCGGGGTTTGGGCACTCCTCGAGTACTGGGCTTGGAGAGCGTTTGCCCCCTCGTGGCCTCTGGACAGTGGTTGCCAGACATGCGGCAACGCGCAGGCGGAACAGATGCCCTTGGGGATATACCGGGTGCAAAGCCTCGGCGACTGTGCTGGGATGAGGTTGCAAACTGCCATGCTGACGTAATCATCGTGTCTTGCTGCGGGCGGAGTGCCGCCGAAGCAGCGGAGGATGTTGTCACTCACTTAGTGTCTCAGCCCGGCTTCTGGCAACTGCCTGCCATGAGGCACAACCCTGCTAGGTTTTATGTTGTTGGGCATGCACTGTTCTCACGCCCAGGGCCACGGATCATTGATGGCATTGAGCAGTTGGCGTGTTTGATGCACCCGGGCTGTTTGCCCCTTCGCCACGCTCGGGATGCATTGCAGCTTCAGGGAGGTAGTGACTCTGCGGAGTGGTTGGCTGTTTGCCCGGACTTTGCCCAGGAGGCTTCGCAGCTTTCTGCCACCGTTGCAAGCTGGCGGAGAGTAGACGGTTACGGGGAAGGAGGTGTGCCGGCCTCTGCGGCACACGCAGTGGTTTCTGGGATGCTTGAAGACGAGCTTGTGCTGCCCCAGCTTTCTGGGGCACGCCCATGTGATGTGTGGCGCGGCAGGGTCTCGTTCGGTGCTCAGGTAACTTGGCAGCGGGAGGTTTGTTCCAAAGTGAGCGGCGAGAGGGTGCCAACACCGCGAGCTCGTCATGCTGCAGCTCGATGGGGCAACATCCTCTTGGTGTTTGGGGGTGAGTCTGTGGGAGGGCGTAGGGTCCTCTCACAGCTGGAGCTCTTGCATTTGGAGACGCTTTGCTGGACCCATGCAAGCACCACCGGACCGGAGCCAGAGCCCCGCAAAGATGCCAGTCTCGTCATTGATGAGGTTGGATCCCGTGCGGTGCTCTTTGGAGGTTCAGATGGCGAAGATGGGTACTTCGGAGAAGTGCATGTTCTGGATCTTGTGGCTTGGCGATGGGAGCAACTCGAGCATCGACCAGGTCCCAGTCCGCGAATGCGTCACGTGGCTTGCACATGGGGCTCCGAGGGAATGCTGGTGCACGGGGGCTTCGGAGCGAGTGGTGAGCTGGGAGATTTGTGGCTTCTGCACTGGAGAAGAAAGCCCGTTCACTCTTGGATTTGGGAGAAGCTCCCTGATAACGACACTGTCATTGGTCCTCGTTTTGGTCACGCAGCTGCTGTGGTGGGGGATGCATTTATAGTCACTGGTGGGCATGCCGAAGACAGCAGTCTGGCAGAGGCGGGTATTTTCCTTCTTCGCACTCGCGAGTGGTTGTCTTTGCCAAAGCTCGGCCGGCCAGTGTGTGGGCATGGATTGGTGGTGCTAGGCAGTGGCATTCTCGCTTGGTCGAACTTGGACACAGATGATGCGGGCGGGAATATCTGCGGGTGGCTGCTACCGCACAGTAAGCTGTGGGCGTCAGCCATGGGCAAAGTCGAGAGCTCCTACGCAGCATGCGTAGCCACTCCCTCTTCATGTAACAACGCAGGAGTTCCCGCNNCGCGGAGCCCTTGTCCCTGGAAGAAGTGAGGAGGGCTGCAGATGCTGGCGACCCACGAGCTACTCAGGCGCTCGCGGCCCTTGAGCGCCTCGCGCCGGAAAAGCGCTCACAAGCAACGTGGTCCACGCTCCATCGACTGGCCACCTTGCAAGGAAGATACCAGTATGAGGATCCGGCAAGTGGGTATGCTGTGTTCACCTCGACCTACCTCAGGAAGAGGCCATGCTGCGGCTTCAGCTGTAGGCATTGCCCTTACGGGCACGCCAACGTACCCGGAGTTGAGCAGGCGAAGCGCGCTGAGGACTGGTAAGTGCCGCTTGATCTTTGGGCGAGTTCTTCTAATTTTCTGTGACCGCTATTCTTGTATCAAAGACTGACCATAATCA